CCAACAAAAAAGAAAGGTTTTACGCGACTTCAAATGAATTACCACCACAATGTCCCCGTATCTTGCGATAGCGCCCGAAATCGCGGTAGAAAGCGCATAAGAACTGCATGAGAAAGAACTAAGCCTGTTCACCAACCTGTAGACCATCTGCGTCTGCAGGGCTCGTTCCGCAGCCTTCAGACGCTCTGCCACCTGAGTGCAGACGTTTTCCCATCGCACATTCAACTGTTGCACTTCGTCCTCAAGTCTGTCGACATCAGGATGACTGAAAAAGAGCGGTTAGAAAACGACACGAGGGTGAAAATATCTGAAGAATGACTACCTGCTTTGACCAATTCGTGTGCGTGCAACGTGTTGCCGTAGAAGAGCCACGTTTTTGTTCAAAGAATCAATCACGGTCTGTTGCTGTTGAAGGACCATGTTCATTTCAAGCAGTTGTGAATGGTGTCCACGAAGTTTATCGAGGGCGGCGGGAAGGTCATCGAAGGAATTCAGGGTGATCTCGTGCGCCTTGACAATGTCGGACACTTCAAGGATGCCATTCAGGACGGATTCCAAGACCTATAAAGCAATTGTTGGATTGTCACATCTCTCATACCCATTATGCCTGAACCTTACCTTGATCCTTTCCACATACATACGGGACAGATCCCAAGATCTTCCCAGAGGCTGCTAAGCCTATCATTGTTCACGCGTTGGGTAGGTGTTGGATTCGGTAGCTGTCGGAACAGCTCCTTTACGTTAGCAACGTCTGCGTCCAAGCCCCTGAAAATGGGCACTTCACCCTTAGTCACACAGCGTAATCTGGAGAAAACCCCATTCAATAGCTACCTGCAGGGCATCTTCGAAAGACTTGTGGTTCATGATGACGGTTTCAAGCTCTGCTGGGGATCGCGATATAGGCTTTCCTGCGTTATCATTAAGTTTTCTCCAAGCATCTTCCAACTTTCGCAGGAGTTCTCCGATTTGTCCATCAAAAAGATGTGCGTGATCGGGCTCTGGAAAAACCGTTAACACTCTATTGTCGCTTACTTATAAGGCGTAATTGCTGTACCTGGTGGTTTCTGACTCGCATTCAACAGATCCCAAAAGTGCTCATTAGTGCGTCTGAGCTCCTCCTTCAATCGTAAGGCAAGCGGATCGTTCGGATCCATCTCAGCCAGCAATTTGTTCGCGTCGTCATTCAGAGCACGCATAATTGCATCTCGTTGTTCAGGATCTATGGCATTGAAAGTGTCGAGATCCCATCCCCTGAAGAAAAAAACTCGTTCTATTCAGGAGTAGCTCGAAATCTGAGCAAATACTGTAACAATAAATCACGTACTGAATAGTCTTCATTGTGTTGAGCACCATGTTGAAGCGAAACCATACGATGTTTCTTTTCCCACAGCTTTTTCAGTTTCTCAAATTGCTGCAGAAGACGGTTCAGGTATCCTGTCAATTTTGGATCCGGTGGAGGGATACGGAACCACGAACCGACGGCACAGTGCCATCCTGCCTCCACTAGGTCGCGCCCATAGCAATTTTGATCCCCTCAGAGTAGTCCAGTAGGGTAAATCCTCGTCTCCTGCGAAAGAAAATCTTTAATTTCCATCTTGGAGGAGTGTTGAATCGTCCCGCCTTCACCGAACGAACGCACCAGCTTTGATGTGAACAGTTTTGTCCGAGTAATCACATAGCGCCGTGACAGTTATCGGGCGACTGATGCGCTCTCCTCTCTGCCATAGCGGGGAAATCGTCGCGCAACGTTCCGTCAGTGCCATCAGCACCGAATGATACTTGTTGAGAATCTCCTACAAATGATGAGTATTACCTAAGAGGGAGGTGAAAAACCATTAATGTATGGTGTTACACCCGGTAACTCGTCCAATAGACCCACCTTCATTTCATCCAGCTCTCGCAGAAGACGTTCTCCTTTCTTCGAGATCGAAATCGGTACGGTTGTAGTTATTTTCCAGTCGTACTGCTTGCTCTTCCATCCACGCCTCTGCATCGGCCGCTTCTCAGTGAACTGCAATAATCAGGGTAAAAGCAAAAAAAACCCCAAAAAAGGGAAAAAAACCAGAAATGAGCCTTCGACTCCCCTCCCCCCCCCCATTTTTCCTTGAAACAAAATGAACATACTGATTTCAGATTGAGTGCATCACGAAGATGTTCTTCCAAGCATTTGCTCAGCGCCAACAACCAATCCCACTGATTCTGCATAGTCCGAAGATAGACTTCGATAACGTGTACTGCAGGATGGCCTTGATTCAACAAAGCTGCTCCTTGATTGTGCACATCATTGTACTGCTTCTCGCGCAGTTCCATTTCATGAAGTAGCTAAAATGGAAAGATTTCAACCTGAACAAACAAAAAGGCTAGCTTGGTTCGTGAGCTTACCTGTTTGTAATAGTTGGTCAGCATCGGGAGGTCCAGCTGCTTCACGTCTGACCAGTTGCGAGTGACCTCGATCTCCTCACGTTCCGATACCCAGACAAGCTCCATTTGAGCAGCTCGCACAAAGGCGATCAAGAGAATCCTGAAATATTTCACGATGAATTAACTAACTAAAAGAATAGCAGACCTTAAACGTACCAAATCGAGCATCCTTCCCGCGGACAAATCTCTCAACTGCTGATATTCGGATTCCAAAACGCGAAGAAGCTCGCAATATTCATAAGTGTCCTCTGCAGAAACTTCTGCCTGTAAAGAATTACATACAACTCCTTCAGAATTTTTCGCACACGTAACTGCTCTTTAGGCGGTACTGTGGCTGCGGCCCCCTCCTTGTTATTCATAACTTCTATGGAACGAATCCTAACCACGCCACATAGATCTTGAACTGGTTCTCATAAGAAATACCAAGCTCATTCGCGCCAGTCATCAACTGGCGGGCTTATTTATTGTGGGAGCCGAATAAGTATGATGTACAACCTCTAGTTTTCCGAATAAAAGCCTTCTGCAATGCACAATAAAAAGGGATCAATCATTGCCAGCAACACTCCTATTTTGACTTACCTTTCTATAAAAAATAAGACTATATCAACCAAACTAGGACATATTATCGCAATAAAACACCACTACGTCTTGCCTTCCAACGGGTGCTTGTAATGATGCCTTTCTGGCGCAGAAGCCTTCATTTTTTTACCACGCATACACTTACATATTGGCCCTAGGCCTTCCCAACTTGGGTCAACCGACCGTTCGCTTTACTAAACGAAAGGGCCGCATTTGTGATTTTGGGAAGGGGGTTGCTGGGAAGAGGTCTGGGTTTGAGTAGGGTTAATTACCCCTGGTGTGAACGGGGTCGTAAAGAGAGGACGGATTACTTGATGGGATTTGACGGGTTTTTCGACGAGTCTGTTATGATAATAAGTAAACTAGG